GTTACGGGGAACCAGACCAGGACAGTTTTGGGAAATAGATTTTACTGAGATAAAACCGACAAAATATGGACTGAGATATCTACTGGTGTTCGTGGACACGTTCTCAGGTTGGACAGAAGCCTTTCCTACCAAGAAAGAAACAGCACTAGTAGTGGTCAAAAAGATATTAGAAGAAATATTCCCTAGGTTCGGGCTTCCTAAGATGATAGGATCAGACAATGGGCCAGCCTTTGTGGCCCAGATGAGTCAGGGAATAGCTAAAGTATTGGGGATTGATTGGAAGCTCCATTGCGCCTATAGACCCCAGAGCTCAGGACAGGTAGAAAGGATGAACAGGACCATCAAGGAGACCTTGACTAAATTAGCCCGAGAGACTGGCTTAACCGATTGGACCATGCTCCTTCCCTTCGCTTTGTTTAGAGCGCGTAATACCCCTGCCGTCCGACCCCCACCTAACACCCTTTGAAGTATTATTTGGTACCCCCCCTCCTATTCGAGACCTCACCCCTTTGCCTAATAACTTGTCATTACCCTCCACCCTCCTATTTGACAGGCTTAAACTTTTGGACCAGATACAGAGAGTCCTCTGGAAACAACTCTCTTCTGCTTACCAACCTGCCAGAGACTTTGAACCCCATAAGTTCCAGGTGGGAGACTACGTTTACGTTCGACGCCACCGCAACGGAAACCTGCAACCTCGATGGAAAGGACCCTACTTGGTACTACTGACGACCCCAACAGCGGTCAAAGTGGACGGCATTGCTTCTTGGGTCCACGTGTCTCACCTTAAACCAGCACCAACTCCCACAAAGGACACCTGGACGGTAGAAAAGACTGGTAACCCCCTCAAAATTCGGGTCCGAAAAGTCTAATTAGCCATAAACTAGGGTTTCTAAATGCTTTGCTATCCATTTCCCCTTGATGTAATTATAATAACATTCGCTTTAGGGTTGGCAACCGGACTATGGGCTGTGGCACCTGCAGATTTCGATAGGCGGACTAAAACGTGCTTGGTCATCTTTCATTTGGGGATTATTACTCCATTTTCCTATTTGATCTGTTTGATGAAATAATGATTTGGCTCCTGCTATTACTCTTACCTCTCCCTGCTAATGCAGGATTCGGGCCTCCCCCTAAGGATCTCTATGGTTCACTCTTTGGAGCACCATGCTCCTGTAAACGGGGAATCTACCCGAGAGACCATACCCCTCCACCCTCCACAGTTAACCTACGATTGGTTGACTGTGGGGACAAAACTGCCTACCTGGTTACTATGGCAGGCCCTACTGGGTACCAACAACCCCGTTGGGAATGCTATACCAAACCTAAAACGAGGCCCAGCAGTTCAAAAACCCAAGCTTGCCCACCGGAGTGCACCACTTTCTATGACCAGATGCACTCCTCTTGTTACGCAGAAGCCACCATATGCTACTACAAAAATAACGTGACTTATTACACCGCTATCCTGCTAACCACCAGGTCGGGCACTTTCGGAGGGGACTGGGGTACCTCCCCGCAAATATTGGGAAATTACAAATATAGTCAAGCCTCATGCCAAGGCACAGTAGGCAAACCTGTCTGTTGGGCTACACGAGCCCCCATTCATGTATCCGATGGAGGAGGCCCACAGGATGCTGCTCGCCAGGAATTTGTTAAAGAACGCCTCAAGCAGCTAGATAACTTTCCCCAGCTCGGCTACCACCTCTTGGCCCGCCCTAAAGGAAGAAACATAGACTTAGATGCTGAGACTCTAGATATTCTAAAAGCCACTCACCAAGCGCTGAACGTCACCAACCCTGCTTTGGCCCAAGATTGTTGGCTCTGCATGACTTTAGGGATGCCTTTCCCTATAGCCTTACCTAACAATACTCTTCCACTGCCATATATGTTAAATTCTAGTTGCTCAATCGGTTTACCCTTCAAGGTCCAACCTCAATCCAATCTAATCCCAAGTGCTACTTGCCTACAGGGGATCAACTCTAACAATACTACTAGCTTAGATCTGGGAACTATCACCTTCCTCACATGTCAGGCTATCGTTAATTACTCAACCCCGCTTTGTCCGCCTCTGGGACAAGTGTTTATTTGTGGAAACAACCTGGCCTATCTCTCCCTTCCAGCCAATTGGACTGGGCTCTGCGTCCTCGCCACCTTGCTACCCGACATAGACCTCGTCC